CACGTGTCGCCACCTTGGCCATCGAAGTCAGAGAAGTCATGTCTGAACGAAGCCGTCACCGCTGCCATCTCTCCCGCGCCGACTAGTTGTCTTCCGACGCCGCTGTCATTTGGTTGTATAGGGAGGGAAGAAGAAGAAGAAAAATGGAAACGAAAACTACACTATGAAAAAGTCGCATTTACTCTTCCTATTCTCCTCACGTGCAGTTCACATGACTAAAACTCACAGAAAATGTAACGATGGACCAATTCACCAAATAATAAAGAGTTGGTGGAACATTTGAACGAATAATTTAGTTGAGGGACCAAAATGCAACTCGGATATAAATTTGAGGACCATTTGAGTAAATAACCCAACATATTATGTAGGCCAAAGATGACATAATTGGAAGGGCCTATATCGACGATATATCCCTGATAAGTGTGATATCCCTGATATTTCCCGATACCCATAACATAACCCAAAAAAAATTCAGAAGTTTTGAAGGCAATTGAAGCAAATTAAAACCCAAAAATCGCTAATCCTTACCTAGAACCCTATAAATTATTAATATGAAGAATCTATGCACAGTCCATTGCCCACATACCTCCAATCCATCTAAAGAGGACATGGCGATCGGTTTTGTATCTATGAGCATAGGAACTAGACCTAGTACTAACTCAAATGAATCTTATGATGGCTATGGTTATGTTATGTTCGATAGCGGAACTAGTTATGGAGCTCAATATGATGAAACATATTATGGACCTATTAGTTGGGTTAATCTTAACTATCCCATATATGGGAGGACAGTAGGGAGCTCAAGAGAGACCTATGTGCACCATGTTCAAACATGGCTTACAAACTGCTCAGGTTACATGACTTGGTATGACTATTGTACGAATCTAGATGGCTATTCCTCATTGTTTGAACCTCATAGGAGCTCTTCATTTATGTAGATGGACACTTATCTAAATTGTAATCCAATGTTTACACAAACTGTGGATTTATGCATGGTTTATTCATTTTAATCAACATTTTATTTTCAAACTTTTCATTAACGTGCATTACATACCACTTATATTTCATCATATGTACATCTTATTATTAGTAAATTTTGAGTTTTATTTGTTTAATACATTCATTGATAATGTAAATAACATTTATGAAAGTTTTACACCAAAATTATGTGTTTCAATGCCTATATCTGTCATTTTTGTTGATTTTTTCC